TCAAATGCTGTAATAAAGCCTTCAGATCAGTTTAAAAACAGCTAAGGAAAGAAAGGCAATTTCACAAYCAAGTGCTAAAACACTGAAGATGTTCTAATGCAAAAATAGATGAACAGGGCAGATGTGACATTACAATCAAATTTCAACACACAAATAAAGCACAGGGAAAGAGCCAGAAGTGATACTTAGGGATGGAGACTATGACCTAATGTGTGTAATTAAGCCACGYGAATTAATTAAGCTCCTTTTGTTCTTTTTACAGAGAAAAGGAAAGCAAAAGATAATGGTCCCACACTGAGTAAAGATTTTATTAGGGCATTCCCCCCCTCCACCAAATGCTTTGTCTTATTAAACACAGAGCAAGAAGTGGCTCTACATGAGGAATTTCTGATTCTACAAAGTCAAAGCTTTAAGGGAAGAYACATACTCTGAAAAGCTGTTATTTGACCAAAAATGCTGCCTTTTTGSATTTTCTGTGGCACAGACAGTTATGAATGACACAGAATTGTTTTTTAACTTTTAAGATTCAATGCACTGATGACGTTGGTCCAACTAAAAATATTAYCAATAAAGCTGCAAATAATGTCCTTATTTCCAATTAGGAAAAATACAATTTTTTTCCCTGAAGAGTATAATTTCGTACACCGATACCAAAAGGCAGCAAGGATATCTAACGTAAAATGGCAAATAAGGTGTTAAACTGAATGGAAATCTTAAGAAGCAAAAAATGGAAGTSGATGTTTCTGTCTGTATTTTGTTTTTTCATCTTGGAGACAAAGTACCAAAGCAGCTTCCACACTGGCCTAGGCTCATAAAAAGARCTCCAGGTGCCATGAGTCATGCCAGGGCTGCTGGAAAGATCGTTAACTTATTTGGGAATACAGAGCTTTCTGGTCATCAATCCACCAAATTCACACAGTCACCCCAGGCAAAGAAGTCATTAATTCCAGGTCAAATAAAGCAGAAATAAGCATGTTCAAAATGCAAATTGTCTTTGTTTCCCATTTTTTCACATGATGTTGAATTAAAGGAAGAGGAAAAATGCACTGATGCAGTGCAGGAGGGAGAAATCACTCCGAACACATAACAGTACCTTTATGATCCTTCTTTCCGGAGTCTTGTCTCTGCTTTGGGAATACAACTTTATATCATTCTATTTCCTATTAAACTTTATTTCCTGTAATAAAAAAAMCGAAGGCTACAGTAACAGAACTTGGTCTTTACCATATCCCTGCTGACCCAATTATRCCTTTGAAGAGGTGTAATAGTTACTATGGTTATAAATGTTAATGCAATAGAAGGCACTAATGTTAGGGAAAAAAAATATTCCAAACTCAATTGCAATCCTCATGAATAAATAAATGATCAGAAAATAAATGTCTGCAGCACATTTGATTGTCTGTCATCCAGCTCTGTTGCTGGAGGTTTAGGAAATGCACCATCCCACCTGCATGTCAACATGGCCCAAACATTGTTCTGATCACCACCTGATCATCACCCCTCAGGCTCCTGCTCATGCTCCTGGTGGAGCACACGTGGGCACAGCACAGATTTGGGTGAGGCAGCCAAGCAGAGCATAAAAAATGGGTATAAAAATGCACACACACTTCCACAGGTGCTTGTTCCATTGCAGAACTATTCTRTAACTATGGAACGTCTCAAAACACAGACACCTTGCAGGAGCCTTTTCCTATCAATATATTAAAGGGCCAAAATCAAAATAATACACATATTCTTTGAGAACACCTGGGTAAACATCCTGGGAAAAGCAGTATTCATAATACAGGTATTAAATTTTTTCTTTTTAATAACAAAATTGTGYTTGCCATCAAAAAGCCTGTAACATTTGTGATGCATCTATTCCAAGATAAATACATTAGCTGTTAGCCAATCAGTGTTCCCCTTGCAGGAAGAATTCCCAAYTGACTATGTGAAATACACTGGATTATGCATCACTACATATATTACACAATATGTAATTCATGTTCAGTTCTTTTTCATTCCACACGTACATCTAGAACTTTATAACCTTTCTCTGAGAAGTTACTCATCRTCTCCTTTATATGTACCTCTTCAAGCCCTGGCAGTTTTTCCAATGTAATTTTACTTATCTCCTGCTCAGATTTCTTATGCTAGACATAGGAAGGTCAACAACACATAAAAATCTTTCGTCTCTTCACAGTGTGAGGCATAAACGGTAATTTCGAGGCAAAAAAAAAAACCTGTCAAGAAAATCAGCACATACAGGATGCTACTCCCTTTCCCAATTCCAGCTTGACAGAATATATAAGGCATCTAAATTTTAAATTATACACATCACTTCAATGACAACATTCTCGCTTCATCTGAAGCTGCCAATTACATTTTGTAAAATAAATTAATACTTCACTTCAAGRAGCTGTAGAGAAGTCCAAACCTCTGAAGTGTGCTTTTGTTAAGTCATTAAATTAATGCACAGATTTGTCAGCTCTTCTCTCGCAAGCTTTGATCAACTTATTCCATCTTCTCCATTTGCCTCCACATACAAAGTGTTGAGCRTGCTACAAACAGCATTATACATGAGCCCTCCAACGTTTCCTGTCAGATATCTGGGGTGAGACTGCCCTTCAACTTCTCAATGCAYGCTTCATTTTCCAGACAGGCCTCACACTCAAGTGTTTTCTTCTAACTGGTTTGCCTGTCAGACAGAAGAGAAATAATTACTGAAAATGTTTTGCATGTCATATTTTTCTTGTCCTATTTTATAGCCTARTATTAAATGTGAAAACCAGAATTCATTGATTTTTTTAAGAAATGAGAAGTGAAATGGCATTTGAAGGAGATTGGGGTTTTTTTTTCCATTTCAGCTGAATGCAGCATTGTATTAAGCATAAAAAAGAGCAGAATAGTGTGTGTAGAATGATTAARCTGATTAAGTATAATAATTACCAGATAATTAACAAGTTAGCATATCAAGAAAAAACATAAGAAAACCACATATTCTTTTATTCCTATATTAAGCCTGCTTCATTCTAAGCTAACAATTCCTTTCTTATACAAATCCTCTCCCTACTCCTCCCTTTYAAAACTAATTCTTCTGGCAAACCATTCCCAAACTTACAGGGTATCTTGACATTTTCTATTTTATTACCTGTTGAATCAAACAAAAATGTCATTTCCCACTTCAGAAGTTGAATTCAGTGCCTATCAATGACAGAAAAACACTTGAAATGGCTTTAATCCAGGAGACTAGTGAAGGATAAGACACTTCTTCCAATAGATATTAATAGTAGATTATRGTCTACTATAAATATGACAGAGGCACAATCCAATATATGAAAAATATGCCTAAGTGTTTTACTGCAAAAGCTCAGGAATATTGCTGGGTGTATTGTCCTTGATTATGTCAGACTTTTCCTTAAGGAAACAGAACAGTATTTATTTACATATAATTTAATGCCTACAGGTGATTGCTGCTATCCTTTTCATCCTTAAGAGCCAAGGGATAAATTTTATCTCCATTAAATGCAGGAGACAGATGACTTTAGAAGCCTCCTGCACATGTTCACTAATGCACACTCTAATCAAGACACAGTCTTGTGGCTCACATATGATACAAGGGRAAATAATGCAAAGATATAGTAAAAAAAATTACTCTGCCTCTTCATTTTGGAGCACTTGGTATCTGTGAGTGTGCAGGTCTTCAAYGCTCTCAGCAATCGGCTTATTTAGTGTTTCTGGCAGAAGGAGAGTCAGGAATCCTGCTGACAGTCCACTGATTCCAAACACCACAAATGGTACAGAAGGACTAAGAGATTTCTAAAATTCAAAACACACAGTAAAAGCACASCATTCTTACCTGCTCTTAAAACACACAAACTGCAGTCAAAACCAAAAAGCTACAACTTGTCACTCAAATAGTTAAGGCAATTAAGGCAAGTTAAATACTGTTAAGGCAAAGAAACCCAAAAAATACCATTTCACAGAAACACCTTCATGTGACAAYGTAATTTTTTACATATTAAGAGAATTCAGATACTGAGTGAGCCTTAGCAGTAGCAAATTTATTATATTACAGTCATTTCACCAACACGTGAGATAGATGACACAACACAAATACTAGAATATTTTAAAAAAACAATAAAATTTATGTATTTTTAAAAGTCTTGTTTATTAACGCTTAAAACTGAGCAAACATTACTTAATTTTTCATTAAAACAACTTTTTTTCCAAGTAGTATCAGCACATGTGCCAAAATCAACAAGATGCTTTTGAGAGAAATTTAAGGAATTTGAGTTAAATAAAAAACTTTAAAATAACCTTACCATAGATGGCACAAACGGAGCCAAAATGCCCCCAAATCTGCAAGACATGGAGCAGACACCCAAGCCAGCATTTCTGTTTTGAAACAAAGGATAAAAGATTTGTACTTTTAGAATACACAACTGAATCATGTGGTGACACTGCCAGAGCAACCTTATAAATAGAAATMTTTAGTAGACTTTAATTTAAATGAAGCTTTTAAAGACCTCCAGTAGTTAGTCCAAAGGTTTGTTCTTACATCTATATTACTAGAGCCATGATTATATTTTGTCTCCAAAGGTAACCTTACTCTTTGTCCAAAATGCAAACAGCATGAAGTTTTCTATTTTTAACCTTTTCCCCCACARGTATTTTAATGACACATCCAAAAGGAAAAAAGCCTGAAGCACAAACACTGCCCAGCCTACAGCACTGCCCCATTTCTAGCATGAGATGTATTTGTCATTGCTGCATGAAGCAGCTAACTTAAAATACATCCCTAACAGTCCTCATGCCTCAAATAATAATTAGGTTTGGAAAAAAAAAAAAAGACACATTTCAGTGACGCCAGGAGCACTACAAAGTTTTGCAGCGACCACTAGATGGTGATGCTGCTTTACTTATTTAACACCACAGCCCTTCTCTTGCAGAAACTGTAATATTTGCAATTAAAAGTCCCAGAGAGGTATTAAACATTGTTAAATGTATAAATTGTCAAATCTCCGGAATTTTCATATGTTTAATGTAACAATCTGCCACATTATTAAACATGAYTTTTCTAATAAAGTAGCTAATTTTTTTTAACTTCCTTTAACCTTACATGTTCTCCACTGCTGGTCTGTGAATTTGGCATGCAAATTCCTTTTCTTGCCAGAATATTACTGCAGATTCTCAAATGAAGCAGCACTTTACTCAATTTTTTTTTTAATATTCCTAATTACAAATACTTAATTTYAAACACTCTGAAAGAGTCCTGTAATTCCTGCTAGGTATGCTTGGTGTCACCATCCTCACTACGGTGCCACAGTCCACATCCACTCCTCATCAGCTTTCAGCTTTCCCTGCTCTCTCTAAACTGGGCCCAAGTTTTGCAGGAGATTTCAAGTTGCTTTTCTTAACAAACTTCTGCAATATGACTCAAATTCTTACYATGTACTTAGAGGATCATTTGGAAAGTCATATGGAACCAAGAGGGGAATGAAATGTATTGTATTTTCCTATATTGGATTTATCTTGGGATAATGAAGTAACCTCACAGGGATTTGGTAAGAACAATGAAAAATAAATTTTTCGCCCAGTTGTTCATCAATTAGATTATGTGGAGCATATTACCGTCATAGATATACTGTTAATATCAGTTGAATTATGAATATTTAATTAAAYAATAAAGATACAGAAAAGCACTTGTTTTCCAGTGGGCAAACAAACAATTTGGGAGATGTAAGAATACAAAGGACTTGTGTAAATAGTCCCTGCTGTAAATAATCTGCATTTATGATTAAGTTAGCACATGTTTCCATCGCATTGTTACATTTGGGGTTGCACCTGCAATTTTACTCCCAAAACCCAAAAACACAGCACCTGCCACTGCAGCACAAGACAGGTGGTTTTCATGCTTTTATTCTGGATTCAGACCTAGAGCAAGTTGCCCCAAACAGCCTGGGAAAGTGCACAGGTACAAAATGTGTGAATACTAGAAGAAGRTCTTTTGAGCCCTGGCCAAATTGCTTAATTACAAAAAGAACCCATATTGTTATTTCAGACAAAAATAATTAAATATTAAAGAACACCAGCAATCAGTATCGCYGAGCATGAAAACCAATTTTATTTCCCCTGAAGCTCTGTTAAATTACCTTAGCACTGTTGGGTACAGCTCAGATGTATAAATGTATAGGATGTTGAAAGCAGCACTGACCATCATTTTTCCACACAGAGCTAACAAAGTGGGACCAAGGAGGAGACCTTTCAGGAAAAAGAAATCAAGGCGTAAGCATGAAATGTCTATTTTCTTACTTTTTTCCATAAACATCCAGCCCTCTTTAAGACATCTCACAAACCCAATGTTTAATGCATACATTTTTCAACAACAGGCAAGAAGGATATCTCAGCTCTTCCCAACCAAACTAGTCTAAGAACAGAGAGTTTAAAATTTAGAACAAAGAAAACCAACCATTTTTGGCCAAGTATAAAATGATCACAGGTCTAAATGGAAGGGCTGCTGCTTCCAGCTGTGCAGCCAGAACATCCCAGCAGGGAAGCACGTCTTGTGATGAGCACAGACAACACACCCTCCTTGGTGTATTTATTAGAGTAAACCCATAACACACACTGTTCACTTCAACAGTTTAYTTGCTCCCCAAGGATGCCCTGTTAGGACTCAGAACTGCAACAGCTCTGTAATTGGAAAGAACAAATGCTAGTGCAGCCCAGTTCACTAACAGACAGTTTAGTTGGCTGAAGTGTGCATGTTTTAAAGTCTTCAATTAAAGTGATTTTAGTCTTGGTTATGTTTGCACCATYTGTTTCAACAAAGTGATACTGAAATAGTTTTTTTTCAGCATGAAAAAGAATCCCTGAATGTCCTTATTTCAGGTTCTCATCCTCAGCATTGAGTTCAGTGTGGTTCTGTCCGGATCAAATGATATTCATTATGTAATGGGCAACTCTGATTGTTTCTTAATTGCTTTTCTTTTAGTTTTGCCCTTGCATATTCTCAGTACAATTCATCTGCTCAAGTCAGACTATTTCATGCAGAAACTGTATGTGAACTGAAATSCAGAGACTTGATTCAGCTTCTTTAGGCAATTTTGCAGTTATTTCTGTAATTCACACGAAAGAGATACAACATTTCCATCCAAGTTCTCCTTTTGCTCAGGGAGAACTGCAATATTCCATACAGCTGCCACATGTAAAAATGTGAATCTGGTCCTCCACCCTGCTGGGTGCTGTCAGAAAGCTGGGACATCCCTTGTCTTCCATTAAGCAAACCCGAGGCAATGAAGATATTTGTAATTTTCAAAAGTGTTTTAAAACTTGCTGTTCTTCTCCCWGAAGAATTAAAATTGAACACTGCATATCCACATATTAGCAACAGAGCATGGGAAGTTTTGAGTTTACKATCAAAACAGAAGAAAGACACTGTCTAGACAGAGAAATTAAGACTCATATTCTTAGGAATGAATTTTAAGTGCACTGTTCTCCAGGTTCCCTCCCTCAGGGGATTCTGAAGGCTGGCCATGTGGGGAATTATYGTGGGATGAGAAGTATACTGGAAATATCCAGGGAAGCTGACGTGCAGTAAAAATAAGCCCAGACACAGTCCTTATGATTTTCTTGGAGTCTTGGAATATATTTTTGAAAAACTGCCCATTATTTTTTTYCMWTTWAAAAAAAAMSTAACAGCATTAAAAACAGGAATGCACATTGTCCTATGGGATTCTGGTGGACATGGATCAGTCACTCCCTCAGTCTATCAGTGCCATTAACAGCCTCCTTTGCAGTGCCATTATGTAGAGTCACCCTCTGACAGTCATTTTCAGGGTGAAAGTTCACTTAAGAAGTACTTCTGGAACTCACGGAATTTCAACCTACTTTAGAAAAAGTATCCACCATGAAAGGTTAGTTATCAACACAAAATACCCAACATTAACAAAAGCTGAGGTAAAATCGATTCAAAGAACTGCAAATTCTCTTTCCTTTTTCTGTGGAAAGCAGATCAATAAAAGCCACAAAAAGGTATTATGTGTTCAGCACAAGCAGATAAATCTAAATGAATGSTAAAACCCAGTTACCTTTAGACTAGTAGCCTCCTTTGTTTACTATAGCATAAAGCAAACATAAAATGCAGATATCTTTGTGCTTTYACAGCAGCTTTTGGAAGAAAATAGTGTTACAGCTTCAGTTTCCCTCCACTGCCACTTCCCCTCACCATTTTCCAGTCTGATACACAAACTCACGGACAAGTTTTAAGTGATAAGGAAGGAGAGARCTGAGGGATGTATCAGTTTTTACCTAACCATTGAATGAATTTTAGTCTCAAATTCAGTACACATCTCTAACAACAAAAACATTCTTGGTTTATTCCACAGGGGACATTACCAGAATCAGATTCTCATTCACAAGTTAGCAGAGTTATTTAGAAATCAAGCAAAGATTACAGACATGAGAGGCATAATGACATCTCATTAAAATCTGAAATCCCTTGTAATAAAATCAAGGATCCTATCAGTCACTCAGAAGAACAGAGACTTGGACAAACATAACAGTAATAGGAAGGTCAGACTGGAGCTGCAACCATCATTTTCATCATGCTTGGAACCAAATTTATTTCTACTGAACTGACACAGATCCCCCTGGGCAAAGAGCCTCTCTACACTGCAAACTTAGATGTTTTAGGGGGATTAAAGTCAAGTCAACTGGGAAAGGCAGATGATGTCCTACAAATTAGYAAACTCTTCAGGAATATTACCCTATGCTAATTAGTCCCTACTGTTTTTCTATCATTTTACAATTTTTAAAAAGAAGCATGAAAAGCAAACATGTTSGAATAAAAAATCTGTCTCAATAAAAGGAGCAACAAAGCATTTGAGAACTTGAATTAACACAAGATGGCAAATTAGATTATGGGACATTTTATCTCTGTCTGGTTTTCTTCCTGGGACTTCTCTGAGATCAATTGGAACTGATGCCAGACAGCATTTATATCTGTTAAGAATAAATACAGCCTATGGAAGACGACCCGGTAATCACATTGGTGCTCCTCAGTCAAAACACTGCTAAGGCTGAAGCATTTCTAATRAAGTGATGTTAGGAAAAACAAAAGCAGAGAGCAGTCTCACATTRTCTGTTAGTGCCCTTAGCTTTCAGYAGCAAAAATAAATTTAATAATACAGAATTAATAAAAATAAAACAAATGGATAGGTCTTTAGGCCCTCATATACTCAGTGACAAAATTATAAATTAAGTTTTGTCASTTTTCTATACAAATTAAGAAACTTCTACTTTAGCAGCAGCACACACTTACCAGCATTTGTTGGTAAAAACATGGTAAATATACAGGCAAATCCTGCAAATGTCAGAAAACACGTCATGGTTTTACGTCTGCCAGACCTAGAAGRAAAAGAGYACCCAGGTAAAGATGAAAACAAAGYCCTTCAGTGTCTTTAACTTKTCCAGAAAATAKCCAWGTACTAAAYACTAAAKTACACAGCARCRTAAGTTATAAATCTATTGTACCATGGTAAGTGTTTCAGATCTTGCTTCCCTAGTTCTGTRTATTGAAATCCTCCCACAGGAGCTTTCCTTTTTCTAGTCAAGGTTTCATTTCTAAWGCTGTGGAATTTGTAGCCTTGAGAAGACTCCATCTCCTTTGGCAACAAGAACTCAAGGCTTTCTTCTCTGTAGTGAGCAAGGCAATGGGCCTTGTCTCCAAAAGGGCATTAGAGTGTACACACAAAAAGATCAAATGAGTAGTGCTCAAGAAAATGTAATTCAAATACTTATTAATATGGATTTTTCCTTTACAACCTTGCATAAATGTATACAGTTGTAACACACTATAAAACTGTTTTGTATGCTTTTATGTCTAACAGTATACACACACAAATGACCATTTTTACTGTCTGGTGTTTTAAAATAAAAGAGAAAACAACAGGACAGAAAATCATCAGCCCATCYCCACATCTGCCATATTTAAATATTTCATAATTATTTGCAAAGCTCCACAAGTTAAGATATTCTTAGCAACAATTTGCCAGCATGTAGAAATGCCACACACACTTGTTACTTTAAAAACTTTCTCAGCTATTTCTAACTACTTTCCCATACTACTAGAACTACAGGTTATCTGTAACTTGGTTTTAAAAGTCTAAAGTATTTTTGCAACAASCAGTTTATACTTTAAGGATGTTGCTCACTCAAACTGAATGAAAACAGAGCAGGGGCTCATCACATTCTGTTTTGTAGTAAACCATCTAAAACGACACATATTGCTTCAGGAAACCAAAAACTTGAAAATTATAATTAGTTTGTCAAATTATGATGAAAAATAAGAAAAGGGAAAAAAAAAAAGAACTTGTGCAGTTTGTTGTTTAAATAAATGCTTGTCTGACTTAGACTTTGTGGGCTCAAGGTGAAGGTTGGCTGCTAGTTTCATTTTGTGGTTTGACCAAGCTGACAGCTTTTTACTGCCCAAAACACCCCAAAGGTGACATCCTCTCCAGGCTGAAGAAAACAGGATTTTTGCCACTGATCTCGGTGAGACCAAAGTTTCATTACAAAGACACTGAATATGAAAGGTTACACAAAACCCTGAGGAGCCCTGTGTCGTCTGACTGTTTGGCCTTTGGAAAATAGTACCCACATAAAGGATGGCTTCCAAACACACTGGGAAGTGTAAAAATGCATGGACATGGCCTTCATGAAAATTTAACAGCTCTCACTTCAAAATTCTCTTTGAAACGTAAAAATGAACAATTCTAAAAACTGCTTTCAACTGGAGTTGGTAGGCACTACAAAAACCAAGTTATTCTGAATAAAATATGTAAGAGATATATATAACCCACTGATACTTAAATAACTAAGATATTCTTTTTTTCCATAAGGACCAAACTTTTTAATAACATTAATCATTGAAAAGCTTATCTCTGGAGTAATGCAAGAAATAAGCAAAACTAAAAATGTGAAGAGGTAGAAAACCAGGCTCTCATTTCTGTATCAAGTGCAGAAACCCCTGCAGTGAAGTAAATCCCCAAAGAACCAGCACTGTTAGAAAAATAGTGAAATACCCTACTGAGAAAAATATTAATATTTTTCTTAGGTATCTATAAATATATGCAGAGAACTGGGAAATAAACTTTTCTTACCAGGATTTCTCAATAAAAAACATGCAGAGAGGAAATGCTGGAACTTCCACAAGACCAGAAAGAGCTACATTTAAATACAGATTTCCTCTTAATTCACCAGCGTTTAAAGTTAGTCCATAGTACACAAAGCTACAGACATACCTAAAAATAACCAGGAAAGTTTTGTTATTAACTGAACTAGTCTTGTGCCACTTTTCAAAACAGCACTTAACATAAAATTATGTTTTAAAAAGCCAATATTTTATCTTTCTCACAATTTTCCTCCACTTGATCTGCATAACGTAATTTTGGGCTTCTTAATTCAGACCTCTATGGTTGCTWTCCATGCAGTGTTTTTCTTCCTAARACTGGTTCAAACATACATCCCATCAGTTCTGTCTGCTTCAGCTTCTCATTTCAGTCTGCTCTCACCACATTATTTCTTTAGTAGGTTTTGAAGCAGTTTCTGAGTGACACACTGATAATAAAACACCACCAGCAATAATAATGAAACACCAACCTTACAAGACATTGTTTCAGATGATTGTTRCCTGCCATCTACTGACAAATTTATKATTTACTTTCTTAGGAYATAAATTTTAAGAGAAAAGGATGAAAATTTTGTTTGCTTCCTCCTGCCTGACTCATTCCCAGCASCTCAGCATCCTATTACYTACCAGATAAACATCAGAACTGTGGTTCTCCACCGAAGGACAGGGTGTTTAACCAAGTTCAGGATCCCAGCTGCTGATTCATYCTTTCTCAAAGGTCCTGCACTTGGTTTCAATTTTAGATTTAATCTCTCTTTTCCATTACTAAGGGCAATACACTGCAGCACACCTTCAGCTTCTGCCATTTTCCCTTGGGAGTACAACCATCTTGGAGATTCTGGAAGCATGCTAACCAGAGAGAAAATCAACACAGTCATCTCAGAAGAGCTGACATCTAATTCTTGACTTGTACTGACCTGGCTTCTTTGGCAATGCTATGYTACCATGGCCCAGGAAGCACCTCAMAYCTCTATTATCTGAGCAGCCTGGACAAAAGTTCTTCTCATCAAGTTTATTTCAAGCCTTCCCATTATGGAAAGGGCTCTGAATTAGAGTGGAAAGAAAAGGAAGGAAACCTTTGTGGGGAATTAGTTGTCAGGCTCCAGCACCAGCTCATTGCTGCTGAAATAAGTTTAAAATCTCTTGTTCCCACATATTATCATAACATCCTTGCTTACCACAACTTCATGATTCCTGCCTTCCCCCCCGCCATTATCAGCTTTTATGAGCCATAAAATAAAAAATTGAATATTTTGAATTGAACATTAATTTTCTCTGGCACTCTAACAGACATATATATCCTACAACCAAACTTAGCTTTCATTACTCCAAGGGATCCCAGTATTTTTAGTATTTGGGGAAGTAATTCTACTTCATCAGAAACAGAACACCATAGAGGAAAATATATCAYGGAGAACTTCTTTATGATGCCCACWGGCTTAGTATTCTTTTACTACAGGAAGAAAGGTGGGATTGTAGTGTATTCTTTAAAAGAATGTATTTCAAGAGCAGATCCATCTAAAAAAATAATTGAAATCAGAAGAGCTTTTTTCCATCTGTGCTGTGCAGTATGCCAGACATTCCTTCTATTAACATGCAGGCAACACTAATTCTTTTATTTTTTCTGCAGTTTTAACTAGTGATTAGAAACATACAAAGTGCATAACTTCTTATGTTAAAAGAGGTTTCTCTAAGAGCACAGACCAGAAAAAGCTAACACTTAATTCCTTACATACTGTGGCAGTTTATAACCATTATATGATAATGCCAATGTAGGAAKTCTGGACAGGAGCACCAGCACTAGGAACAGGCACAAGGAACCTCAAAAGCAAGCAGATACATAGCAAAACATGCTAAAAGGGTAATTCCAAGTGCTGCCACTTATATCCCTTTGCATGCATCTCATGGAAAGAAACTCTAAAATCACTCTTAAGATGACTTTCAAAAGTTTTCAAGTACTGAAGCTCTGCTTTGGCAAGAGGCAMTGCTCCTGGCAGATGCTCCAGCTCGCAGCCTCTGGCAGGCCTTGCTTCCCYTCCCCAAGCAGATCTGTAATCAAGTTTTCTTGGACAGCTGGCACACAGCTGCTCTTTGCAGTGCTGGCCACCACAGCTGTAACAGCATTCAGAAACACAAATTTGTATTCTGGGTAACCCCAACTTTCTGCTTCATTTAACACCCCTTCTTCCTGCACAATATAATTTGAATCTTGCTTGGTTCACAAAACCATACAGAAAAAAGTCATGCTCACTTTTACCACTCACTCAAATGATGACAAGAAAACGTAACTTAATTACTGCATCTTTTTCCTTATTATTAGAATGCATGTGAACCACTTACAAAGAAAGGAGGAGGAAGAAGACTCCCGGGGTGTTGGACAGGAAGGTAAGGTAGCGCCATTCTCTGACACAGTAACCCAGCAAAGCATAAACAGCAATGCCAACTGCAAATGTCAGATTAGTTAAGGAACCTGAAAATACAAGACCAAACCAGTCACTATAGAAACCAATAACAAAAGAAAAAAAATTTCTTAAGCAGAAGCCCCAAATTCCTAGTCTATGATACATCTCAATAAAATAACAATTTTATGAGCTATGTTTGTAGCACTTGTGAACTAGCTGGCTTAAATCCATTATACAAACCCAGTGAAGAACAGCTTCATGGACTGTGTGGTAGGGATAGGGGTTTTTCTCCCGAGAACTGAAGAGTGGGACACAGGAGAGAGTAAGAAAATAACAAGGAATTTACAGGTCAGAGAAAAACCTGATGACAGAAAGGGGAAGCATTGAGAACAAGTGCTTTATTTAGGACTATCAGGGCAATCTTGAATAGAAGCAGCAGGCTGGAGCAGAAACTGAAACTAATTTACAGAAGTACAAGGACTGGAGTCAGTACAAAACCAGCTGCCAAGCCAGTGCTTTCCTACACCAGATGTCTGATGAACAAGGATAAATAAAAATGTTTAGAATATCCAAAAGCCTAGAAACAAACCTGCTGCAGCCTACCACAGCAGATCCTCTAGGAATGCAGTCTCAGCTGCCCCCACAAGGGCCAGCTCACAGCAACAGCCAGCTCATCTGAGCTGCACCCAGCAGCTCCCTCTGCTTCTGCCCCTCCTTCTCAGCACTGAGCACAACCAGAACAGAGCACCTACAGCAACAAGCACCGGGAAATGGAAATGGCCTGGCTCTTCCATCCACCAGGAGGCTGGCCCTGCAGGGAAAAGGCTGGGAAGAGCAGAAAGACACAACAGGACAACAGAGAGGGAAGAGCGGGAGAGAGAAAAGGCGTAAGTCAGGAAAGTGAACTGAGAAGAAAAGGAAAATTCAGTGCTTTAAAGAGAAAAAAAAAAAAAAGTGGAAGGATATAACTAAACCTCAACTGTCTCATACATACCCAGGACTTCAGAGAAAAAAAAAGCAGAATGAAGCAACTAAATACATGAGGGAAAGAAATATGCTTACAGCCATGGCAAGTCAGCCTTTGGAGAATGTTTTTCTCCACACTGCACAAGCCAGAAAGGAGTTACAGCCTGAGCTAATCCAGCTTCAMAACTGACTGATATGCAAGTGTTAAACTTACTTAGGTCTTGGCAGGGGCATATGAAAAAAAGGACATTTAAAAATACTGGATGGTCAGMACATTCAGCAGTGGAAAAAACACAAATCAGGCACTAACTCATTTTGTGGTTCAGAGAAACTTCCCAGAATACCTTCCCAAGGTACCATACAGCAGAACTAGGCAGAAGCTGCCAAAACTTTTTTTTTTTTAAATATAATGCAGTGTACACACTTAGAAATTTTAGGAATTAATGTAACAATTGGAAAAATCCAGTTTTGCTGTTTATCAAACAAACTCAACCCCATTTTCCTTATTCAGGCACCTTTCCCACAGAAACCAGAACTTGGATGAATCACACCACATGCATCTGACTTATACTACAACTGACTTGACTTGGTAAAAATGTTAAAAGGTACTGATAGAACAATATATGTCACAGTAACAATGATTAAATATATCCCAAATCCCACCTGTAAATGACCAAAATGATTTTCCTACATATTCTTGTGTTAGGACAAATGATACAAGAGCCATTCCTCCATTCACAATTCCAACAAAAAAACGTGAAATTGCAAATACATCATAATTCGGAGCTAAGGCTGTGACATACCCAAAAATGACATCAAAAAATAGACCTGCAGAGACAGAATAAAATGTAATTAGTACTTCTGCTACACAGTTTGAACTCCACACAAGGAAAGAGATCACAGCCAGTTACTGACTATAACAATTAGTCTGGAGTACTCGTCTCTCATCTCTCATATTTGGCTTTCTGAAACCACACCATATGAAAATTACAATCATTTTCAAAAATTACAATCATTTTCAAGTCACACACTTGAGCTTTGCAATGCCAAAGATGGCATTTCCTTGAGAAAATGTTCTCACTTAACAAGACCCTTTGTTTGGAAACACAGCTGGAAAACCAATCCCCAGGAGCTGAGTAACCCACACGGAAGATGCTTCGGTAAATCAGTCTCCCTCACCCTCTTGAAAAAAAAGCAAAATCATTTTGATTCGGAACAGTATGATTAGGCAATGTGTGGAATACTGTGCTCCAGTAGAGACAGCCATGGCAACACCAGGTTTTTTCACCTCCCACTGACACTCCCTGACCTCTGAGCTGCTCAGCACACTGGCACCAGGCAATTGCAGTGCTGCCCACTCCATGTGAAAACGCTTATACAGGTCACTGACAGAGCAGGGACCCCATAGGCAGCCTTTGAGTAGAGTGGCCCAGGGACAGCCAAGCAAGAGATGCTTTCCTTGTAGAATACTTCAGAAAAACCTTTTAACAATCTTACCCGAGATATACACTGGTTTCCTGCCTAGTTTATCTGACAAAGGGCCAAATGTGATATTTCCAATGAGCAATCCAGCAAAAAACAGAGATGATGCAAGGCTTACTTTGTAGGCTTCTTGTTCAATTAGATACCACTATTAAAAAAAAAAAAAAAAAAACAAACAACAACTTATTAAAAGTATGCCCTTGTCCGAAAATAATAAAAAGCTATCAACATATTACTCTTGTCATTTCCCACTTGTTTTATATCACATTAAAGTTTTAGTCAAAGTTTGACAGACAAGCCAACAGTAGTCACTTTCTTTCCTCACAAACAGATTCTAACATGTCTCCTCCTGGAAATTTCATTGTAATAAATTAAAATTGTTCCACTTGATAAACATCATTAGCTGTACCCCAATTCCMAAGCTTTGGCAAGGCAGCTTATCTCAGGTAATTAAAACAAGGACCTGTGAACAGTTTAGCCATTTCAGCACTAAACCAGCACAGCCATTTCGATGAACAGTTTGTAAAATTGCTTCATTAACAAGTAKTATGCATGTTCACTCCTGCAGTACTTAGAGAGTTAAACTGTGCTTCCTGAWCTGTGAGTGATCCCTGGTGCCTTTCCTCACCACACACGTGCTGAACTCTAGAAGAGAACCAGAAAGGGATTACAACAAAATAACCTTGTTTCTTAAAAAGGCACAGAACTAGTTATGGGCTACTTGTTGGTATTTCAGTATCTTATTGCCCATGTGCATTTAKAATAAAAGAAAAGTTAGAAATAAATCATGGATTTCTTTATAAAATATACTTTCTACCTCATTCAAAAACTAAACTYAGGCAGCACAATCATCAGAGAGAAGAAAATTAACTGAGAATAGGTTGAAAATACTATTTCCTGATGGGGCAAGGCATGCAGACAGCCTGCACAATGRTAAGTTCTTGAAGTAGAACACAAGAGCCACTTTGGAGTTTTTCTGCACTCCACCTGCAAAACCAGAACAGAACTCAGAATGTTTAAGCTCCATGAAATTTAATCTTCACCACCAAATCAAGGAAATAAACTTGACAGAAGCAGCTCTTGCAGGACAGAACAACAGAAAAGACTTCTCCTGCAAACTGGTATTTCTGCTGCTTGGTGGTTGCATGTTAGTATTTTAACAAGTCTGATATAATTATCTGTGAGGATAATAACTTTTAAAAGAATGCATCTATCTACTTCATTTGCACAAAGGAATCTTATTAAATATTCTTCAGATTTAACAGTAGCTTGCCAACAAAAATGTTGCCAATTTTGCTCTCACCAACACAGACATCCTTTGAGCTCTTTACATCCACGTGTCAGTCTGATTTAGTTACTAGAACGCTATCAGCAAAATGCTGGCCAGCACCTGGAGATTTCATAAACTATTAACAGTACAGTGTTCAGAAATCTTAAAATTAACAAAATGCATAGGAACACAAATTTATTTTGAATAATCTTGGGAATTGTCACATATTTTGAAAACAGGGACACTGACTTCTAAATTTAAAACCAGAGTATTAGTTAAAGTTTGATGACTTCTGATTATATATTAAGCACTACCCCATATCAGGCACCCTGCTGAGAGTCTGCAACTGGAGTGTGATCTTGGAAAACAGGCTAATCAAAAATATCTGTTTCTGACAGAGGATATGATCCAATATTGCATAATTCCTTATGAGTAGTCACTCCATTTTTCCAAATAAACATCACACAGGCCCCCTTGGGATAATGGGAGGGAAGCAAAATTTGGCATCAGCTATACACCAAGTGCTAACCTGTCTTATAGGAGTTTACTGACAACTGCTCCCAGAATTCCATCGGCAGAACTCCTGCAGTTCACCCCAKCAGCCAAGCCACCCACAGAGCCTCTTTTCTGGCACTGGCAGCAAGGCTGAGGTCACTCGTGTTTGCCTAAGTGTTATAGCCCGGGGACCAGGAAAAAGCAAGCACAGCCTCTTGCCTGGAATTTGTAAGGCATGAGGAGGAAGGRTCAAGCTTCTGTCCCACTTGGCAAACTCCAATCTGTTCCATCTCCCACTTTCACCACACATAAAAATATCCAGACATGTAGTGCATGAGCTCCATTTTAATGGTTGTAGTCTTTAATATGTATCTTCTGTAACTAATGCATAGCAAAATTACATGCACAGCAGATTGTGCAGACGTGACAGACTGAACCTTTTCTCAGTACAAAACAGACATTAGGAGGAACTCATTGTAAATTCTAGAGTTATAAACTGCTAATTAAATGACCATTGTTCATTAATGACTTTCTAAAACAGCTGAAAGTAAAACTGAAAACCAAATAAATAATATACAGAAAGTTAAATCTAAATTAATAAGTGTTAGATTTATTCAGCCACATACTTTCAGATTTTAAAATGACAAAATGAAAGACACAGACAAGTTGATTACAAAAATTTTAACACCATAAGCAAAACATTACACTAAACTCTGCTTGGTTTTTCCAAGCACTATGTTGTGCACTAGTGCCACAAATCCCAAGAGGAGGAGAACTGATTAGGAATGAGAGAAGTACTTGCCTCAGTTACGATGGATGTGAAATTCCTAGCAAAATGGATATGCTTGGCAAGCTCAGCTTTGCTCACCAGAATTCCTTCTTGGTCTCTATGATACTCAGGYACAGCTCCCACAAGCACAATAAGCATTGACTGACAAGCCACATATACCTTAAAATAAAACATAAKCATTTACCCTGAACAATCCCAAGASATGTAATASTGSAAGCTTTTCATTAAACCAAYAATTAACAAATTCCCTTTACCCAGCATCCCAAAGGAAACACAGTCAGCCTATTGTATTTAAATCCTGGATGTGGCCCTGAAGATTGTTGGGAGCAGCAAGTACCACTCGAGAAAGGCTGGTGTATTTCCAATAAAAGTTTCATCTGGAAACCTCCTTCCTGCTGTATAGCAGTTCAGTTTGTTCTTTCAGTTATGTAGCCAGACATGGGAAAGGAAGATGTTAAGAATTTCATTACAGCTTCATGGGTGAGATCCAAGACTAAAAGCATTTTATATAATAAAGGTTTTACTTCCTATATTCCATGGAATAAAACATGCAGTAATAAGTTAAAAAAAAAAAAGTTACCCAAGCTTGTATTTTTTTTTTTCATCTTTGCTAGTTATTTCCATTTCAGGGACTGAATTCTTAATYTGATCATCAGGAAAACTAGAATGTGCAGGAATAAAAAATATTTTCTTCCAGAAACCCTTATGAGAATATTGATTCATTGAGATGGGCCTCAAGATATTTTGAACATCTCCCAGGACTTGCATGCTATTTTTACTAGCCTAAAATAACATTCTATTTAAGCCTATCTATGTATTAGTGATTTTTAGCAGGTTACCACCAGTGGAAAAGTTTTGACTCTAGAATGGCTCTCTTCACTGGGCCACATGTCTTTGGCTGGTGCACCTGGTTGGATGTTGTTTTAACATCCCATTTAATCCTGTGCTTATCTTGGACACTCCTGCAGAAACAAGTTACAAACAAAAACCTGCAATCAGCCCAATCTCCCTCCCACCAGCGTTTAGCTCAAAATGCAGAACTGCACTAATAGGAGGAAGCCTGATACAAGAAAACTGAGGGAATGAAACATAAATATTTGCATGCTRGGGTGTGGACACTGCTTAAAGACAGCACCCTGCATACTGCTTTCACAAGAGATTGGGGCRGGGAGGGGAGGGGGTAAATAAAAAGAAAAAGAAACAGAAACGACATTTGGTGGGGGTTACACTCCATTTCCCTCCAGTCAGCGGAAGTTTAAAAGCCACTCTTCAGAAAGTGAACAAGTTAAAAAGACRTGAATAGGAGTAAGAAAAACAGATCATAAACTTTAACAAGCATGCAAGACAGCACTAAAGTAAGCAAGAGGTTTGACAGGMAACTTAGAAAAGAACCAAATCCGTTTTGGAACCCACATGAATACAAGCGRGGCTCCAAGAGAATGTTTGCCGCCAAGAAGGAGGTGTGAGGGAGGGGAGAGCTGCTGTGCCAGCTTCCGCAGGAGCCAGAGGAGCTCAAGGACAAGGCACAGCGGGACCGGGACGGGGACAGAGAGCCCCGGGCACCGGCGGGACCGGGACGGGGACAGAGAGCCCCGGGCACCGGCGGGACAGGGACGGGGACAGAGAGCCCCGGGCACCGGCGGGACAGGGAGGGCACAGAGAGCCCCGGGCACCGGCGGGACCCCCCCGGCCCAGAGGGATCCCCGAGCCAGCAGCAGCCGCCGGCAGGGCGGGGGTGTGAGGGAGCGGGGCGGGAAGCGGGTGCGGAGCATCCCGGCAGCAGCAGCAGCAGCCTGTATCCGGGAGCGGCACCGCCGTCCCGGCTCTGCCCGCACGCTCCGGGATGCTGYTGGGCTGCGGAAAGAGAAACCAAASGGAGCCCGCCGCGCCTCAGCTCCCCGAACGCCGAGAACRCGGAAGCGAGAGCCGCGAGGAGYCCCGGCGGCCCCACCTCACCTGCAGCAGCACCAGGAACGCCGTGAGGCGCCGCTGCCCAGCGCCGAACGCCCCCGCCGCCACGAAGGCCTCCTCCAGCTCCAGCTGCAGCTCCATGCCCGGCGCCAGGGCCCGCCCGGAGCCGAGCCGAGCCGAGCCGAGCCGCGCCCCCGCGGCCCCGCCCCGCCGGCACAGCGCTCCCGGAGCGCGGGCAGAACGGCCCCGGCACGGCCTGAAGCGCTCGTTCCCTTCGGTAAAACACGAGAGCCCAACAGCCCCTGGAGGAGGAGAGCGCCGTGAGGAGCATCAGGCGCTGAGGAACAGCCTCCCCACTGCTCCAGGGACAAACGGCTCCCACCAGAGGAGGATGGCCCAGGCAGGATGCACGGGGATATGGCCACAGCTCCTCTCCGGCCAAAAGGCACTCAAAGGGGAGCTCCGACAGACACCCCAGAGAGCACAACTGCTTGGCACTTTTTCCACAGCGGTTTGAACAAGGGAGCAGAATTCCTTCTTTGTGACCTCAATTTTAAGAGAAGCAGTGTTTTTCATCAAGATACAATCTACTCTAGTTAATTGTAGGCTGCTACCAAAGGTTCATTTTGCTCAGTGTTCTTCTCCACAGGCTGCTGTCTCTGATTATTGAATTGGCAGGGCCATCTCCTGCTTCTGTAGGTGCCCCATTACCCAAGGGCCAATGTGAACTACCATAAATGTTCTGTTGACCCAGGGGCTTGCAGCATGATACCTAACAGCTCCACATCCTATGGACAGCAGGAGAAACTCCCTTCAAGTTAGCAAGAATAGACATTAACCACCATGAATTAAACCTGAGAAAAAGGGGTTTGACAAAAGCAGAGTGAGTGGTCTTTGGTACTGCTCCTTCAACACACATGGTTACGGCTGCATTTTTCCTAGCATTTAGTTTTTAGCATTTAGGTTTTAGTTTTGCTTTGGGGCTTTTAAGTCTTTCCCCTCAGCCATATCAAGAAATTCTTTCCTTTCAGGCAGTAAGCTAGGATGACCTCCCCTCAGTATTCTTAGACCAGGAGAACTTAAATTGGTTGAGATTGGCAGGGATGGCACAGCTCCCCGAGAAACGGTGAGTGCCACGCAACATCRTGTGGTACACAGGAAGAGCTAAGTGAGGGTCAAAGTACTGCTTACCTTGGAACTGTGACAGCCTGGAAAGAAGGAACTTTCTAAATAATTTCTAAGCATTCCCATCCATATAGTTACCACACATTAGCAGACAATAATGAAATCCAACATTTTCAACTCCTTGTAGCAGCTCCAGCTGCTTTCATGATTCCTATCCTGATTTAAACAGAGCAATCTGTTGCTGAACCTTGGCAAAGGCAGGCAGACATAAGACAGGCTCCCAYTCTATTTCTGAATACATCTACAGAAAGAACAAAAATTATTTTGGAAGAACACTGATTTTACAAGACCTGTTAGATTTCCCCTCATATTCTACCATCTGTTTCCCATGTTAGTGTGGAAAACACATAATGCCTCAGGACTCAAAAAAAAGCCCACAAAACAAAAAAGTCCCAACAAAACCACAAAATCAAAACCAACCCCCCCCCCAAAAAAAAACCTCAACCAAATTCTGTCATCACTGCTGTTGCTGAATCTTTAACATTTTAGTCAAGAGGTGCATATCATTATGTACTAGAATATAGTAACTACTTTGTTAACAGCAATTCAGATAATATCCACTGCATCCTGCTCAAAGCAGCATTTATTAAAGATAGCATCAAGATAAGTCAATGAATAATGAAGCTTTCCATCCTACAAATATGTAAACAAGTTGTCAGCAAGGTATTGTATTATTGTATTATTACAATATAAAAATTAAAGCTTACATTGCGTTTTTTTAAAGCTACTACCTTCAGTCCAAACRTGTAGTGTCTCTGGTTTGTAGCATTTAAAAATACAAGTTCTTGAAAAATGCTTAAGTATTGCCTTTGCACATACATTTTTTTGTAGAAAAAATACTTTAAAATACCAATTCTCATTAATAAAAGCAACACCAAAAATACAACACATTTTTGTAATTAACAGCATGATAAATGCATTCAGCATTTTCTCCACCTTCTGTTTTACCAAATGATCTTCCATTTTAAAATTCATTATAGTTTGTAAAATGTATGATGGATATTATTCAATTACATACACATACCAAAAGAATTAGCAATATTGGCAATTACATTGTAATCAAAGTCCAGCCTAAGCTTATTTGCAGCTGAGGCCATCAATTTAATCCTCATCTCAAACTGGGTATTTTAACAAGTACAGTAGGCTCTTGCTGAGAAATATGAGTCAGTTCAGATATATTTTGGAAAGGCTTGAAACCTTAATAYGATTTAAACAGAAATACATATACTCTTTTAATTTCTAAGTTCTTTGTTTAACTACATTAGCAGTCCTGTTGGTAGCAGTCAGTCAATTCTCCGGAAACACTTTGTTCAGATAAGATAATTTGACATGAGCTACATTTTACATTCCAAAACCAAAAAGRAAGTTATCTTAAACACTGATTTTTAACATTTTTTCACGAAGTTTTCCTGGTGAGAGCTAGGCAGATGACTTCTGCAGTTGCTAAGGCAAGAAAAGTTTGAAAATTCCCCGTAACCAAAGTTTAAAAGATTGTACAGTATTTCAAAACCAAACTAAGCTAAATTCAGCAAGCAGAGAGAGCTATGTATCACTGAATGATGATGATGAAAGCTATGTATCACTGAATGATGGGATGAAAGCTAATCATGTCATTGTGCTAGACAAGCATTAGCTAACAATGAACAGTAACAAGAAAAAAACCAAAGATAATCCAGTGAACCAGTTTAAGGATGAATTCAAAGTGCAAAATCAGACTGGCAAGAAAATAATTTTATAATTGGCTGTAAGACTGAAGAAAACAGCTAGGGAAATACTGAAAGTTTGATCATGTCAGATCTGAAAGAAAAGAAGTACATTTATATGCCAACAGTAATGAATATGAGTAACATTGTCAGCTTTCCAAATTCCATGGAAGRTCTTGATAGAGGAGGATTTATTTAGCCTTTGCCACTACTGAGTTAGCAAGTTAGGTCTGCCAGAAGTTACAGTCTCAGGTACATAGAGACACAGAAAGCAACTTCCTGACAGGAGTGTGGTAGAGCCTAAAATACTCCAATGATCTTGAACCCTGGAAATGTGTTAGAAACACAAACCCCAAAACGGGATCTATATGAACCTGTAACAGGAACTGTAATTCTGAGAGAAGGGTTTACCCTACTCCTTCATGCAGTACTCGGATTTTTACAAAGATGGTTCATTTTGCCATGCTTGCTGATAAAACAAGCATGATACAGTTACAAGCATGAGTTAGAGCAAAATGCAGCAGAAAGTGCTTGAATGGACAGTATGAGTCAAACATTCCATCCCAGGCCCAGGTTAGTCTGCTTTTCAGAGAAGGGTGAAATGCAAATACCAAAGCTTGAGGTTCCTTAATGTCTTACATACCTTAAGACACAGACAAGCCTCTCCCTACACTCAGGGAAACAGTTGAGAAGCACCAACATTCCTGGGRGCAGAAGTCCCAAGCCCCCGGGGAGGCTGCCTTTGTGATCACCCCCTACAGCACAGTTCCTTAGAAAAGCTGGATAACAAGGTGCAGGTTTGGTTAGGGGCAGGGATTTTTGCACTGTACTCATTAGGGAGAGAACAGCATTCCTCTCTTCTGGTATCCAAGTGTGTGTCTAAAGTAATACAAGCTTTAGCTTTTTCATCACATGTGGTCTGCTGGGACTTCTCACTAAAGCACTGAGGTTCCTCAGAGATGCTCAAAGTGCTGTTACATTTGAGCACAGCTTTGCAAGGGGCTTGCAGACACCTCCCACAACCAGGGAGTAACTACACCAACACAGAGCAGCTGCATTTGCACCCACAGAACTCAAACCCTGGCCTGACTCTGCAGAACACTACTCTGAATGCCATCAGGGGCCTACCAGTCAGTTATGGCTGAACAGAAAAAGAACTGCAGCAGCCCCAAGCCTCAGGAAAAYATTTAAAATCTGTGCAGTAGACTTGCAGATGACTGTCAATACCTGGGGGAAGCTCTAAGTATTGGAGTCAGAGATCCAAGGATAAGCGGAATCATGTGCCCTTTTCTATTCTAGGGAAGTAACACAGTCTGTCCCAAAAATACATCATAAARTACTATCTGCAAAAAGTGGGTGGTTTCTCCCTGAATCCACAGTAGAAATGCAGTCACACGGAAAACTAAAATCAGCCCAATTCTCAGAAATGCATTAAATAGTACCAAAGGTGACCTAAAAAAGTAATTTTCACAAGTCACTGCTTTGAAAGACATTTCAAAATTAATCTCTGTGCAGATATGCCATGGGACYCAAGGTTATAAGATGACTGACTAAACCAACTAGACTTTTAGAAAAYGTTATTTATATCCAAATATTTTAGTAATAACTTTAGCAATAAAAGAAACTACTACACAGACTATTTTAGAGTCCACATATGATATGAAATATACACTCATACATGTTCTAAAATACATATATATATACACATATATTCATTCTTGAAGCAATGTAGAGCAAAACCAAACCAGGGTCTGACTAAGCTATCATACATGCCTTTATGGCAGTGTGACTTGAACRGGCTGATCAGATCCCTGAGGCCTATGACTGGAATTGCTATGAACTTTACTTACCACAATTTTAACCAAAAACTGACTTAAATCATGTTACATGTCTAGATGAAAAAAGACTGACACAAACAAAACAACTGCACAAACAAAAAAACCCCAAAAAAAAACCCACACAGACAAAACCCACACAGCCCTATAATACATAGAAAGGCACCTTATAATATGGTTAGTAGCAAATATTACAGCATCCTAAGTGTACTTAAGCAATTAAGGTAAATTTAAAAARGATCATGAAATATAAGAATTGCTGGCATTCAAAATGTAACTCTAACCTATCTAGCAAGTCACKAAAATGACATGTGCAGTTGTAAATCATTAAGAGTGTGCAAAACTACACGGTTTTGCATAAAGTGCTAAATGTACCCCCAGTTTGCACCTATTAGTATTACATAAATTTGTTAAGCTTGGCAATATGATTCAGGATGATGATGTTAAAGTTATATCCTATCTACCTCATCTTTCCTTTTTCYTTCCAACCATCATCCACTGTCCTTTAAACTGTACATTTTAAAAATACACACAGGCCTTTTCAGGAATTGTAGTTCAGAAAAATRTTTCAAGTATATCTATCTTTCCATGTAAACATGGGGACACTATGGTTCCATTTTCACAAGCTCTAGATACTTACAACTTCTGCTAATTCAAATGGAGTTGCAATTATTTCAGTCTGTTCAATACCTCAGGCAAAAGAGTGTTTCCTGTTACTCATTTAACTCCCTTTTAAGGAGTGTGAAATTCATGCTGTAACATGYCCAGATTTAAATCTAAACAGTAAGCAGTTATAGAAAAACAGAGTAATATTTGATCTGATCACTTAGGCTCACAAGTCCTACCGTAGCTATTCATACAGACTCATTCTAGGAATCTTACACAGATCTTTAACACTTAAATTCAAGTTATTGTACTACAGCAGTTTCTCTTGCAGGCATTGTGCAGTACACCTAGAAGTATACAACAGGTCTCTTCTTTACTCTGTATTTCAGTGATCCATATCGTATCTGAGGGGAAAAATAAATTTATAACAGAGTTGAGTCACACCAAGCAGAAATAAGATTTTCCTCCCCACTAATCCTATTTAGCAAATGTGCTTTGGACATGCCAGTTTCACTAAGAGAATCTACCTATGACTGAATAACACAAAATTTCAACAGAATTGAGCAAGAAGAATAAGTATCAACTGTTTTACTGGAATGACCCAAAAACTTTTATGAGACTCCGCAGAGATTTACCCTGAAGTATCTTGGAATTTTGTGACACACACATATACAAAGTGCATTGAACCCTACCTAGGATCTTTTCTTTGTAGATTACAAACAGTTAGATTTTTTAGTTCCCATAGACATATGGCCTACTTATCTATTAAACAGCAGATATTAAAGTATGCATAACATGCAGATAATAGTATTGTTATTCTTACCCCTTTCAAGGTGAGCAGTTCCTGAAATCTGAGCTTGGTGCTGCCAGAATTAGCATTACAAGCACAGAGTCTATTCATGTATTTCCCCTAAACACCTCAAACTACAAAAGCTCYAGACTTTGATATTGTTATCACATACTTCCTTCCCCATTTGCCATTTTACAACCTGGTTATTATTGACAATTCCTCCAAGATTGAGAATAAAAATTAATTTCTGCACTATGAAAAATGCCACGGTACACTGAAAAAAAACTAAATTAACCAGGATTATACTTACCTCTTTACGGCCTTTAACAGTTTTCACTGATTTCATGCTCTGTGTTCTTCGAAGGCCTCTCTGAGCAAACATTTCATCCTCTGAATGTGTCCCCTCCATCTCTTCATCTGTTTTATCATCTCCAGGATTTTTTTCAAGTGGAGTTTTGTAACCTTTAAAAAAGAATGYATAAAAAGAAGTAGCTGTAACTTTCAGATTTCCAAGAAAGCAGTGAGCKTCATCTTTAACACACATGATTTATCCTTTTAAACCAGGTGCTCATCTCAAAACAGGGAAACATCTGCTTTGTCAGGATCTTGTTACTTCTAATCTTACTACTTGGTTCCACAGGTATGTAATGCAGTGATTCTTGAGTTGTCAAAACTGAAACCCCTGAGTCTGCTTCCATMTTCTGCTTTACACTGAACTGCAACAACCTCAGTGGTCATCTTAAGAAGTACTTAAGATTTCTGGACACAATCCACATGACAGGAAGGTTCCACTCAGACAAACCTTTAAAGATCCCTTCCAATCCAAACGATTCCATGATTCTGATTCATAGGATCTTTCTCCATACCCTCATCCCTTTCCTGTATATTTAATACCAAAGCTCCTTTCAGATGGGTAACACGCCAAAGTACTGTWAAGGGTTGTTTAGATCCTGCAAAACCAGGACCAAGATTATTACCCAGAAATCTCACTAGAGGGCACAAACTACTTAAAAACACATTCCAAAAAGCTCCTTGGGGTCCAACAGTCCCGAATCCTATCACAAATTTCCTAAACCCAGCCTGGTTCCTTCCTCTGCCAAATTCTCCTTTTATTCTGGAACCTACAGGCTGTAACACTCAGGGACACCTTTTAGACTCAAAACCAAACTTTATTAATGACCTGTGTACATTTCATCTTAAGCCAATATTTTATTTAGGCTTAGCTAGATTTTTTTCCTCTTTTTTTTTTTTCCTAGAAATTAGAATCACATCATCTATTCCAYAGCTACTTGAGGCAGGCGTTCTGTCATTCTCTTCTGCCATTTTAGAGGCAACGTGTCTCTGCTTCCAATACAGTTAAAATTAATCTTTTTCAATGCAAAATATTTCAATCACATCTATTTCTCAGTTTCTGATTAAAGATGTTTGCAGTGACACCAGTACTTCCTTACTTTTATTTGTAACACCCATGAACATCCCATCTGCCTTTCTCACAGCAAGCCTATTGCCAGCTCAGCATCATCCTATCATCCATGTCCTACAACTAGGCCTTTTCAGCCAATTTGCATAGAACTCCCAGCTCAGACCACAAAAAATAACAACCTGCTAAGCACAGCAGAATATTGCTACACAGGGTTCCTAAATAGGTGTGTACTTCTGATCTTTTTTAAGTYGCTAATCCTAAAGAAAATACAAAGAAAACAGGAGAGGTGAATGCTAGATTTGGGTCCAGGAGCAGAAACAATTAATTTCAGCTAGCTGTAAGAAAGGTTTTTGACATTTGAGATTGAATGTCACAATCAGTGATGATTTATACAGTATAAACTGAAGTGATTTTTTAAAAATTTAGAGCATTTTCAGGTTATTTCAGATACGTAAGTAATCCTCTCTTCCTGAAGAAGAGCCCCTACACAAYGGCTGCAGTGACATCATCTTTATTGCAGCCCTTCATGAATTCTTGGCTTTCTCTGCAGCCAGAAGCTCCGGTTCACACTGCCCTGCACAGGATATATTCTGGGAACAAYGTGCAATTCAGCTTAGGGCCCTTCMGCTGGCCATCTATTCCKTAGAAAYATCATGGGCTGCCACAAAATTCATGGAATTCCTTGTACCCCGTAAGTGCTACCTCTCCCCAAAACAGARGGATGAGAAGGAATGACAGGCTTAAGTGAAAAGAAACAGCTCAAATCTACTTCTTTTGTRGGAAATACCAGCTCCCTTACATTGTAGCTTCATCATTTAAAAAGGTGTAGTTCCAGACTTCCAGCAAAACTCTCCTTTGAGCATCACAGACTCAAGAGCAAAATGATGATGACAATAACAATACATGTAATATAATTATAAAATAATAGTATGTCTGAACAAAACCATACATTGGTCACCACACACCATCTTCGGAGTGTTGATGGACATGAGTTCATTATGACCACTTGATACCTTCAATATTCCTATCACCATATGCAATTTTACATTTTGATCTATCACTATGGACCAACTATATTCATTTCTATTAATTTCCTCTTCTATTTACTGAACTTTCATACATTTTCATGTGTAACTTCTGTACATTTGTCACAAAAACACCACTTAATTATGTAACTTTTTACTTCCAATTAAGCTTTACTTCGGGAATAAATTCTTRTTGGCAATTGGCAAGGACAGGAGTAATGAGTGCAGTATGATTACACTGAGAGTTGCTGTGAGAAGAAAGCAATTCAGGAAGGATTTCTTAACTGTCATCATGTACTTTGCTCGAGTGTATTTCTATTTAAGTGTCCTGGAATTCTTTGAGGCCTTTTCCTTTTAGAAATGGGGTAAATGTATTTCTGCTCTTCCACTTTCGCTTTGGGTAAATTGTTCTTTTAGCTAGGAAAAAAGAACCAGATACATACCTGAAGATTCACTTGCAGAAGCTCTGGTTTTCTTTTTAGCTTCTGGCAACGTCTGATAAGGCCTCTGTCCTACAGGCTCATCTCCTTGTATAGTAGTCAGATCATGCATACTGAAACTTCTCAGTTTCTCAGTTATTGCACCTTGGCTCTGAAATACAACAACAGTGTCTTTGAAAACAAAGCAGAGGTTTAACTTTGCTGCTTAGCTTGGGTTAAGATGTTTAAGCCCATGCTTCCTTGCTGCACAACAAAGCACATTGAACATACACATGCAGCAGCTTTACATTTGCTTTAGCAATTGCTTTTACCCAAGCTTAACTGTAGATTGCTCCCAGGTGACAAAGTTACACTTAAACTAACAGTTTAATTACAAATGCTGCATTTCACTCCTTTAATCTAAGCAAATAAAGGCTTYCTGGGTGAGGGCAAGTGTTTAAAGGAAACACACATCAGAAATGGTCCATTCACTTCAAACATGGTAGTTCAAGGTAGTATGACAGTGATTTTAATACTTGAAAGAGTATGGTTGAAAATAGTTGCTTGCTATTTTGTATTTTACCCTCCACAAATTCGAATATGTGCAAGGAGAAAAGTGTTAAAAATACATTCTGYAACATTAACTCGTATAACTGAGAAACTGGCAGCACTACAAAAGCTGCTCTAGTTGACAGAAACTTGAAACCACAAACCAAAGAGGTCCTGCCTGGACTCCAGGCTAGCAGGTCCTCTTACTAATATAGATTTACTGACATAATACCAACACAAAATCTAATGCTACACAGGAGAGTAAGTAATCACAYATGAACAGAAGTATTCCTTCTCCAATTGTCTTCACACCTTTTCTATATGGAATATATAGGAATTTCCCTGTTGAAAAGAAAGGTCATCCAGCAACTCTTACATCAGATGATGTTATTATTAATGTATTAAAGATTAATTTATTGCATAAGCAACTAAAATAATTAGACCATGAGAACAAGTACTCAAAGTCATGTTAAAATAACATTTAATTCTTCCCTCTCTGGCATAAGGTAAAAAAATAACCATTTCAGGCAAAGGCTGACAAGCCTGTGCATGAATCCCACTTCAAGCAAGTGCTAAAGACTTTGTTTCATTCTTACAAATGAAGTTTTTAAGCAAAATTCTTCATTTGAGCATTATGTTAGCTAGCAGCAACAGAAATCTGAGTACAATTCCATATACCTTTCTCTTCAATAGCACCATCAGAAAGTAGTGCTGGAACTACTGGCCACAGCCATTTGTTCCCACTCTCATGACAACTGTTTGCACATGGTAGACCAACACACCGAATTATTCCATGTTAAAAATARCCATGTAAAGTACAGAGACAGTTGAATTAAGCTACTTAAGTTTGCATGGGTAGCAAARGGCAGGGAAAAAAGTGGCTGAAACCTAACATTGATTTTCTAATGACTAGTCATTAGTACAGCATAGAAAATTAAGACAATGGACAGTGTGCTGCTCAAGCACAACTAACCTATTATAATTCTTACCCCACCATACATACATTGCCACCAAACAATAACAAGAAAAGGTCTCTTAAGAGAGAAGAAGAAGCCTTAACTTTTATCTCTCTTCCTATATACTTGCAGGATGACTTACAGTTCTCAAAAATTTAAGTACAGCTTCCCTTTGAATTAAAATGCACTATGGACACTGTACAGTATCTGTATTAAAGACTGTAGAAATCCTGAAGTCAAATTTTTTCCCCAAAATGGGGAATAAACCATTTATTTAAGACAGGTCTCTAAAGATTGCTCCTAAGGCAGGCAAAATCCTGCCCCTTCCATTACTTCACTTCTTGCATTGAAAGGCATAYTAAGTAAACTGCATCAAGAAGCAGCTATGCCTGAGAATTTTATCAGCTGCTAGGACCTGGCGGAGGGAACTGGAGAAAGCTGCTTCTTTGGAAAAGTAACAGATACAGTATCTGCTGTAACACACAAAAGTGTTCCTCAGTGCCTGCCCAATGCCTGAAGAGGTTGAACAGGACCTCAAGTCTCAGTCACTGAACACTGATGAACATGTAAAATGGACCTAGCTGGTTCTCMGTGGAACCCACACAAATTCAGAACAATTCCATTCACCAAGTGTGAACAGAGGCTACTTAAAATAGTGACAGAAGCTGCTTTTGGCCAGCAGTAGAAGTACAGAAAGACACACTTGCGTAAGAGCTGCCCAGCAAGTTCACTCATYATGTGATATACTACAAAAAGACATTTGGAAATTGTACAGCATAATGCAATTAAGAGTATAACAACTAGCATACCAAGAATTCATATTACAAGCCTGTATTTCTTATTCCGATGTAGACAGAGGACTGGATCCAAGCTGGAAACATTCAGCCCTATTTTCCAGTGCAGCTTTTGGACACAGAATTTTGTTTTCAAAGGGGGAAAAAAGTCAAGTATGTGCCATAAAATAACATTGTGCCCTTAACCAAACTGCACGGTTGAGCTGGAGCTCCTGTGGAGCACTGCCTCATTCAGGGAGGACGTAACGGATTCATACAATGGGCCCTTCATTCCAAAACTACTTGCCAAGATGGAAAGTTTTACTCAAGTTACACACAGAAAACATTGAGAAGTTTGAAAGGATATATAGACAAATAAAAGATGCAGCACACATGCCTGAGAATCGCAGTAGGAATGGGGTTGCACAACYACTGCTGTGCTGGACAGTCACCGTCACACACTGTACTAATCCTGGCCAGGTACTCCCTACAATGCCCCCAGTCTCCATCCCAAASCCAGGGAAGATCCAGTCTAGCCAAACCAGGATTGATTTTTACTTCACTCCACTGCAATAGACTGAAGGACAAATTTGAATGTGTTCTGTGTGGGTGTGTATATCACTGTGCTCACACTGCATTTAAGACTTAAGAAGATGCTTCCACCCCCATGCCCAAAAGCAGCAGTTAATTGCTTTCTGCTGAAACAAAGCATTCTGTGAGGATCTGGATTACTATCAGCTCAGGAKGAAAGTCTGGCTGAAAAATATTAAATTCCTTCCTACTGCAGGAAATGTAAGATTAAATACCCTCTACTGCAGGAAATGTGARAGTAACATTCACATTTAGAATAATAATGCTTCAAGAGCTTTGATATGTCGTTTGAAAGTTCAGASAGTTACAGACCACAGCTTGAAAGCAACACGTTTGCCCTAAAAACTGAAGGCAGAGCAATCCAGTTGCAGGTGGAGCTGAAGGGGATCTCCTGCTGCCATTCCCATYGTGGATGTGGCAGCAGCTGTCACCTCTCCCCAGATACACACACCACAAGATGCTGCCAGAAGAAGAGGGCACAGCACTTACTACTGCTGGCCCATGATGTCAACAGTTCCTGCTGGGAAGGAAGGAATACATGGGACTGCATCGAGCCCAGAGGCTGGCAACTAAATTACAGCCAAAAGATTGAGACACATGCATTTACAATTCCAAGGCCAGGAAAAAGAAATYAATCACAGAACGACCTCAGCACTACAATTTCTATGTAAGTGAGCGCTGAAGAGATGAGCTGTGAAGTCTTGGTGTTTTCTTACACAAAATGCAAGTCTTAAAGAATGATTTTGCTTTATTATTCAATAGCATTTCCTAAGACATACTAAACTATTTTCAGAGTCCACATGCATTACCAGTGACTGATGTAAAACACCAACTAAAGTCGCAATACATTTCTAAATTTTAAAAAATAAATATAGTCTATTTAAGGGTATCCTTTCACAACTACTTAACTACTAGGATGCAGTCTCATCAGTTGRTCCTCATGTGAAATGCCACTGTCTATTCTGTTACTGAGCATGTMTTTTTACAGTCTTCATGCTTAACCCAGGGAAGTTGCTGTAAACAAACACCACCGGGTCTGCCTCAGGGACTTGTTGTTGTTTCAATTGGACTTGCACCCCTCAGCGGCCAGGATCACTGACTGAAGCTGCCTGCTTTCCTTGCACAAGTTCTCAATGGACTCGGCAGCATGCAGCACCCACATTYTCAGCTGTTCCCTCCCTGATCCGATGGGAGCTGACAGGGAATGACTCGTGTTCCCTCTCAGCCTGGAGAGGGCCCGCTGTCCCGTGAATGACCCCTGCAGCATGCCAGGCAGTCCCAGCAGGGAGGAGGATGAAAGCGCYACTGCTCCCCGTGGTGATGCTGGCTGTGTGCCACAGCTGGCTGCAAGACACCTCCTTCCTCTGCCATGCCCTGACTGGGGACAAGGAGAAGGCTGAGAAAGGCCACGAGARTAATTCTCAACCAGCAAAAATGCAGCAGATTCACAACGACCAGAAGGCATCCAGAAAACACAGCCTTCAAAACATATTATGACCACCACCAATGCTTTGCAAATTAACACTATTTGTGTGACCTCATAAAGACTGACAGAGTATTTTGCAACTTAATTAGCAGCCACCCTGCTCATAGTGATAAAGACACCAGTTTTCACTAGTAGCTYAGGAAATCAGAAGTCATGGGTTGGCAGATACTGAAACATTAAGGTAACCATCATCTCAGAAGACCTGAAAAGCASATGAATCAAAATATGAGATGTATCATAGAAACTTAAGAATTGTGGATATAATTTCCCCAAATCCATATACTACTGAGCTACYGAAGCACCTTGTTTCTGATTTTTTTTTTTTACTAATAAAAATTTCCTTCAGTATATAAAAATCCAGCACAGGCTTTCATCTCTAAGTCTCACGAAATCAGGATTTTACGAAGATTTGTTTTCTGACATGCTAATTTAACACAATTTTGCTAATGTGTGCTATTTAGCAGGTTTTGAAACACTACATTTTATATGAACAGTGGCTAACTAGCACCGGCTAAAAATATCAGTATGAGAATGTAAGCTATCAGCCACTACTCCTGCCAAATACGTTTCAATGTAACTACAGGGGAGCCAGGTTTAAAGCTATGTCAAATTTCAGTAGACYGACCTGGCTGACTGCTCCAACCTCCCTAACAGAGCCAACTAGCCTTTTAATGGTAATCCCCTACTCCTTTGACAACCCTTGGAGAAAATCACTCTTTCCCACATTTGATCTTCAAAATATTTCAGCAAGTTTCCAAGCAATTTTATCACTCTCCTAAAGTCAGCAGAAGCAGCTTGCTTGGACACTTTAGTGTATTTTAACATAGGTTTAATCTCACACATGTTCTTCCCCTGTCCTAATTTGAGATCTGCTATGTCAGAACAAGCATGTGTGCTCTATTAAAAAAAAAAAAAAAAAAAAAGTAAAAAAAAAAAATAGTGATGAAAGTGTGTCCCCTTTCCTTTCAAGACTGATCCCACTAATATGATTCCATTCCTGAAATCCTATAGCATGCTCCACCAGCTCTGGCTGAAGGGACAGTCTTTTCACCTGCTGGAGGCAGCAGTCAACTCTTGAAAAACAGAGAACTAAATGAAGAACACAGGCATTATGTCCATTTGCTTGCATGGAGCAGGCACGCTCAGCTTTTTGGAATGACAAACTCAAGAGGCTTAACATGCCAAAATAAAGATTTTTTTTCAGTGAGTCTCCTCTTTCATACTGTTTAAAAATCAAGTCTATTTTAGGTCTTTGGTATTGTGGTGGTTATTTTGCCCAAGCATCTGATCTGCACTGAACTAATTCTGTACAAATATTCACGAGTGTGTTTAACAAGTTTTAACAAATAGAGCAGGCATCTTGCCAGTCACAGCTGAACAGCGATGAAATCTAAACACAGACATTTCAGAAAAARTTATTCATTCTTTCAGAAGAAAGTGGGAGGAGATACTGGTGTTACTTATTTTACAGTATTTCTGTAACACCCTAAAAATTACAAAGGAAATATCCAACCGTAGCCAAGCCTGAGGAACACACACAAAGCATAAGTATCCTTACAGGTGCACATTGTAATAAATTTRTAATTCAAAGAATTTGCATTTTAGCATTTAGCACAGTTCTTCAACGTTTTCCCAGTAGAGCCCTCTGGGCGTTTGTTTGTTGCATTTGTTTGGTCTGTTTAAATAATGTATTTTCACTCCAGATACTTTCATTCCTTTGGAGGTGCACTCTATTGCATTCTAAATTATTTCATGTCTCAAGGCAATACTAAGAATTTGAATAACAAAAAAAACCCCCCACAGTGATCAAATTTAATCACTTTCTCAGTATTTTAGGTTCATTATAACCATATTTAAAAACAAAGTTATAATGCTACCACCCACATGTATCTTTCAAAAGAGAGAAATGAACAAACAAGATATGCATGACTACTTTTCCAAAACTTTTTGAAGTAGTATGTGAAAATGTAGTTTTTAGCAATGTCTTTGATTTACAACACAGGAAGTTCACATAGAACCCCAGACATTTAAGTTAAATGCCRGCTGTACATACTCAACTTGGACAGCCAGGGATCTCTACACTGTTTTCTGTTGTCTACTGACATTGTTCAGGTTTTCTGTGCTGTTACTATGAGCACAGCAGCTCCATTTATTCCCAGGTAGAAATTAATCCTGATTGCTTAAAACTGTGATTTCACTTGGACATAAACTTTTTTTTCCCCATATTTTTTTTTTCCATTTTGGTTTAAATTACTGTAAAGTAGGTTACAAATTGTCTGAAGTACACTCCTGTCAGTGGTGCACAAATTGCTTAGAATCTTACATATAAACTTGTATTTTGTCTTCCTATACCCAGAGCCCTCTGAAATGCAACTMAAGGTGATGAGTTTTTGTAGGAAGGTAATCTAGGAAAAACAACCGATTACTTCGTAACTGAATGGAAAATACATGACAAAGCAAGAGTATGCTAAACACCAATAGGCAAGCTTACACTTAGTGTATTAATTGAATAATTCACTCAACCAGTTGCAAACAAGTTAATTGTGTCAAGATAACTTTTATCCATGGTAGTAGTCTTTCATGCCTTAATTGATTACCTCAGGTAATGGCATTACCTCAGATTGATTGGAGAAAAACAGCAGAAAAGCCAGAAATCCTTTTAAAAGTTTGTTTACCAACAAGAAAGCACAACACAGACAGAAGAGAAATGATTGTCATCTTTACCAAAAGCCTGCATGAAAATTGTATGGTACCTTTTGAATTAAACTGATCCCCATCATCCAAAAAAAACACTACAAGCCATCTTAAACAAACATAGTGGGAGAGCAGGAGAGGGCTGCAAGCCTTTGTGTCCCAGGTTTTCAATAGACTTGCAGAAATTATGTTTTTATTTAGGAATGGCAAAACCTCAGTTTAATTACACTGTTCTATATCAAGGTCAAAAGCAATTGATGTAAGCAGAAAGTTACCTTTACAGCTGCTGTCACTGCWGCAGTTGCTGCCAAATTCAACCCTTGCCTTCCGAAATTCACCATGGTCTCATAACCTCTTTCTTTGGCTTGGACRATGTACTCATCAATCTCCTAAACGCAAAACATATTTAAAATTTAGAAGGTTGCTCATAAGAGAGCATTACCCCATAGTGTTATTTTTCTGYCAGTAAAGAAGAGCAAAGAAATATTTAAGAAAACATTTAATGAGATATCTTTCTACACCAAAAAAAACTATTTCATTCCTTACAACTCACATTTTAATAAAGGATTATATCTGGTCAAACAGTAAGAAAATGTAGGTCACTTTCATGCCAGCAAGTTCCGTACAGAGAATAAGCTTAACTTGTTCGACAAAAGTACTTCAAAAAATGACATGGATTCAAGAAATCATCTAACATGAAGAAGTCAGAGAGCTCTCTAGAAAGGTAGAGCCCACTTAGAGCGAACTTGTGAAGCCAGAGCTTTGACAGAGATAAGTACCAACCAAGGACAACACAGTCATGCCATTTATCCCCAGCTCTGATAAATGCCTGTAATTGGAGATTAAGTCCACAAAGTACTTCTCAATAGCATGCAGACTACAGGGGAGTACCCCTTTCGTTTACAAAGTTGCAAACGGTTCAGAGCTCAACCTTCAGAAGGTCAGGATGACCTTATTCTTCCTATCTGTGGCAATCTTGTCAGCTACCTGCTTTGCCTAAAAAAATCAAGTCTAGCACTGACCTTTAGGAATGCTATTTACTGTAGTGTGAGGTTTCTCAGTACTTGTCTTCACACCTTTGCTAATTGCTTTCTCCACACATCCAAACAGGATGCTGAAAAAGAACTAAGCAAAGTTGTGTCCCTGTCATACTTTGGCTAAAGCTAAACATCCTCTAGCTATTTTTATGTTTGGGTATTTACTGCTGCAGACTGGTCCACTCTTAAAACTCAGTAATAAGTCTCTCCTCTTATCTTGGCAGTTTSCAAGTCCAAAAAGTCATCCATGTCAATCATCCTACACATGTTATTACAAGGCTATGCAGGAAAAAATGGTAACACGAAGAGCTTTAGTAAAGATGTGTTGATACTTCTGCACAGAGAGCACYGAACATGTGCTTGCAGCAGAAAGTCAAGCTGCATCACTTCCACTCRACTGGACTCCTCAGAGTGCATCAAGTAGAGCAAGGAACACCAAGCTCTCGTGTCAATAGGAAGCAAGACCTTGTCTGCTCAGACAAATTAAACAGAAGCACAGACAAAGACAGTCAAATGCACTTGCCTCTGCTGGTGCAAATTCACRCTGCCTAGCAAGCCAGTAACACACTGCTCTGCTTTTGTAGTGTATCTAGCAACAGTTTTCATTTCAGCATATGGTGTTTCCATATTAAGCATTAAAAATCAGAGAAGTTATTTCTTACCCTTTCTTTAGAGGAAAGCAGTGGGTGGAGGAATTTTCTGTAGATTAAACTTGCCCCTCTAGTATATGGGGAAAGGAGCCAGATAACAAAAGCTATCTTCAGTTCATAGTACAGTGGAAACCTACAGACAAATTAAAGGTTGCACAAAATCAACAACTGCAGTAAGAAAATGTAATTAATCAGTATGAAGAGATCTTTTAAAAAACCACAATTACTGTAGCATATAGGATTCTTCACATAAAAGTAACATTAGACAAAACTTAAATTAGTTATGGATTTATGGATTACTGTCATTTAAGAAATGAAAAYGTTAATATACTTGCTTTGCATTTTACATTCCTGCACAAAAAAATTCTAAGCCATCTTTTTAAGAGTTCCATTCCCTTATTCAGTTTTTACCGTGAAGCAGGGAGTGTTATAGTTCCTATTCCGAGTGACAGTGTACAGCAAACTTGGAAACAGATGCTGTTCATCCATGCATCAAGATATTTTCCTGTAAAAAGGGCTATCAACAAGCACAACTTCTTTATACAAAATGGATCATTACAAAWCAAGAAACATCAGAAACAAATACAGTTTCCTCTAGAGTTCATAAAAAGCAAGGCTCTTACCAAGAGACTGTTAGGTCAGTTATGGTTTCAGTAAATGTATAAAGAGCAAACACAATCCAATACATCATCCAGCGAACCTGAAAATTAAAACACCACCTTCAGTAAGAGTTTTGATTTCACCTTTACACATATTCACTACACAGTTTGTTTAGAGCTGTCACAGCAAGACCTTCAACAGCATCTCAGTCTGAAAAAACAGGTTTCAGGTGAAATGATGGGAAGGTCCTGAGAGATTTCTGTTCATGAGTAGAACTGGTGGCAGCTGCAACAAGTTAAGTGAAATGGATGGGCTGTCAGGGTCTCACAGAATCATTTGTGTCTTTACAAAGCTTTAATGATATGAAAAAAAACACTGCAAAGAGTTGGTGGATTATCCTAAGTATGAAGAGCAATGCCCACCATAGCACTAAAGGATATTTCATTCTCTTCCACATGCAACCATATGTTCATACRACACACACAAAAATCAGCATTGATGAAGCAGTCCTTGCTTTCATTTCACAGGATGTATTATTCAACAATATACTGCAATTAAGTTCCATGTGTGTGATTAATGTTATGGTATTAACAGTGAGAAAAGGCAACAAAAAAAGCATTTTCATGGAAATTTTARTTCTATTTATATGCCAAGAACCACAAAATTCTTGTTAAGAAAAAAGCTCACATGTTAATGCTTAGTGGTTTTACAGGTATATACTTTTTAATTTAAGTTTTACACAATATATTATTGCTTTGAAATCAGACAATGTTCTTCAAATAATATAGTTTGTTTTATAACAATTAATGGAATCACTCATTTTTCTTGAGCATCTGTTCAAATTTGGTTCCCTAAGCTGATTTGATCTTTCAGAATAAATACTACAGAAATAGGGTAAGATATCAGCTGCCAAATGCAATGCATTTCCAAAATAGGTCACTRCAAACCATCACTAGTTATTTGTACAAACTGAGTATGTTCTTTAAATTCCAATGCTATCCATGCTAGAAAAGAACCTGGAACAATACATAACGATTTAAAAAACAAACAAACAAAAAACAAAACAAAAGGAAAAAAAAAAGAACGCAAAACCCAACAAAGAAACAAACCAACCAACCAAACAATAAAACAAAACCACCACAATTGTTAGAGACTAGTTTGAGCCCTAATTTCATGGTATTCTCTTTCAAAAGGAAGAAAATTACATATATACACATATATATACATACATATACATACACCTTCTAACAGATGATGTGGCTCAGATTTAATCTTCACTTCTAAAACAATCTTTTTTGAAGTGGACCTAAATACTCAAAACCTAATGATACACTGCTGCCTTCTTCATAGATGTGCATTATAGTTCAAAACCACTTCCTCTGTCAGAACGTGAGACCTATTTATCTTAAATGCTTTTCTGTATTTCAKTTTGAAAAGAAACTCAGTCATGTGGTAACATTCTTCACTTCAATCTCTCAGAGGATTTAGATATTTCAGGCTTGAATAAACTAAGACAAAAGTACACAACAGCTGAAGTCATTGCTGACAGGCCATGTGATATTTAGACTGGTGACCCTTCCATGAACTAGAGTCAACACCTGAATGAAAATGAAATTAAACCCATTTTGCCCCATCAACTTAAGCATAATGCAATGCAATTTTCAAGAYGCCACRCAAGACTGTATTTTTTTCCCAATAKAATTTATCCAGGCTATTCTTTCTTTAATCAACCCCTATTCATCCAATTAAAAACAACAGTGGAAGTGGAATTCCTCCTGGGCTGCTAGAACAGTAAAAAACACCCTGCAGAAGGGCACATGAGACCTGCCAGGAGTCCTGCTGTGGTCTGGGCAAASATTCTATAAAACACAAATCATATTCTAGCACAACTAATGCAGTAGGTACCACAAGTCTCCTTGACAAATGAACCTGAGTGACTTCCAGGGGTTTTCATACAGCAAAAAAGAAAAAAGGACATGAAAAATTGAAGGTCAGATTTTGCACAAGCCAGGAGACTGTCACCTACTTAAAGTATTGAGCTTTGGATTGAGCTTTACTTTTCATATTAAAAGAGTGATTATAGATTGTTTTGTTGTGGTGTTTTTTTTCTACCATCCAAGTGTTAAGCTCATCTTTGTTGGCTCTGGCTGAAGCGCATTTTTTCAAGTCAGGATTCTGAAGCCAGGATTTAAAAAGGCTGGTCTGTTCAGACTTTTAAATTTCATTTCAGATACTTATTGCAAGCACTTTGGTGCAGTACAGTGAAAGAACTTCTCAAATATCTTAGTCAATGCCATTAAACCAGGGTAATTACAAGAACAAATAAATCTCCTCAAAGGCAAAGATTCTAATTTCTGTCATTGAAGTCCATAAGTCTTTAAAATTACTATAATCAGCACAACACTTCTTTCCCCCAGAAATAACCTTTGAACAATTTGCTGCATCATGACCTAAACAACAAGTCAGGATGTCTGTTCTTTTTGTTTGGTTGTTTTTTAGTGGTGGACATAGGGGCTGACTAAAATATTTTGCTGTTACGCGGCTCTTACCAATTCAACAAACACATATGGCTCCTGAGCCACACAAAATCCTGGAAAGGAAGTTGTGCTTGGGCCATAATGTGACTGGCAGCAGACCTGTGCCACTTGGAAAGCTGCATTTAAATATAAACCCTTTACTGCAAATGAAAATGACCCAGCTTGGAAAATGACAGCCATGGATCATCCCTAAGACCTACCTGGAAAGTCAACCCAAYTGGCAATGGAGTGGTAATTCACTGATGAATCAGTCATTCCCTGCTAATGAAAAAGTCACTGGGATGGGTCTTACTCATCTTGGCCCCATAAATATTTGGTATGTGACTGCAAGTTCTAGGACTGCTCAAAGACCACAGGTTCACACTAAAAGAGATGGAAAACCACAATTCCATGTCYTACTAGCAGGGGCCCTGAGTAAGGATGCTCAAGAAATAAAGCTAAGTCATAGCTAACTGGACAAACTGAAGTGAGCAAAATATGTCAGCCTTCTAAAATATTACTTCTCTTTCTCTAGAAAACATAGTGCAAGAGGCAATGGTAACCTCTCTAATTAAAGTCATTTTCTTTATTGKGGTTGCAAACTGCTATCCCATACTTAGCCTGTCGACCCCTTTTGAAGGAGCAGGGAGGAAAAGCAAATTATAAATTACTTGCATTATAGACTTCCCTGACAGAATAATATAAGCATGAGACAAAGAAAATTCTCCTCTTAGTTTTGATGATATTTTTCTCCCATAAGGTTAGCTCTGACAGGCAGCAGCTCTATCTCACAAATAAGCTCTAATCACCTTGTACACAGAAATCAGAAGTACAACCATGATGTCCACTTGATAGAGTGATCAGACTAAATTAAAACTTTCAAGGGGAGGAGCAACACATTCTACAACTACATCCAAGTACAAAGTAGAGACATCACACTTGAGACAACAGCCTTGGGTCACAGCTACGGCTGCCAAGTTAGAGTAACTGATGGCCCTGACCCCACCCTGAGTCAGGCAGCTGAGTTAAGGACAAGATTCAGGACAGCTTTGTTGCTGAAATCAAGTCAGGCTGTCTCTTAAAACAGGGAAGCAGCTCAGTGACTAAAGCTCCTTGTGACTGCAGCTGGGTAACATTCCCATGATTATCATCATTGCTCACACTGACAAGTAAATAATTTAATAGCTTAATTCAAAACTGCAGGAACTATAATTGTGTTTTGCTCCCTCTTTCTCTTCTGTCTGTTCTGCTTCTTTTCTCTACACCACCTTAACCAAATCTTTTCCTTCCATGGTTACATTTTTTCTCCTCTTTGAGGAGCAATARATTAGCAAGAACTACCCTTCTCTTACGTAGATTTTTCAGTCCCATGTTGAGCTCCCTACAATAACATTAAACTGCTGCTGCTCTTCTAGTGGTCAATGAGAATCAATTTGTCAATGCTTATACTTGAGGTGTTGGCAGAATTAGGAAATTTTTGTTCTACCTCTGCCCAAAAGTGCACTATTTCTCATACCTTGCTGAAATGCAGCCAAGACTTTAAAGTTTAGGTTAAAAATACTCTTTAAAAAAATCCATATAYAGCACAGTKTGTTGGACATGTTTTAGCATAAAAYTRTGMAAAGTCYAAGACAYCTTAACTTTAGCCCTCCAAACMAAATCAGAGGATTAGCACTAGGTTCACACAGGTGTTGTATCTAACACTAAGTCAGTCAAATAAAACTTTCATATGATTTATTGCATAATGAAAATGTCATAGATCCCTGTCAGCTGAGCTATATCATAAAACAATTAAAAGGAATGAGACTTACATATTCCTTCACATTTTTTGTCTTCACAGCTTTGTATGAGTAATATGCAGGATACAGCATCCCAAACACCAGCCTATGGGAAAACAGAAAAGGCCTTCAGGATTTGTTATAATATATATGACAAAAGAGTGACAATACATCAGCAGAGAAATGCAGCCAACTTAATATAAAAAATCCTGCTCTCTAGGATTAAAAAAAAAAAATCACAGTGTTATATGCTGCACGGAGGAAGTTTCATGATAGGCAAAACTAGAACAACATGAACAGAAAAGGGTGTATGCCCTGAAGACAACAAACTGTTTCACAAGGCTGCTTCTAATAGATAATGTAAAACCAGTTGTTGCTCTGGTTCATCAACAAGTAAAACCAGTCTTGCAGCCTGTCCACACCAAAAGATTGTTTCCACACTGGCAGTGCCATCACACTTGAAGAGCCCCTGAAACTGTCAGTAGTTAGTTACAATCATCTGCTTTTATCAGATTACCAGAAGTTTATTTTAGAACACATTTTAAGACAACACTGAATTACAAAATTTCATCTCCTTTTGCTAGAAATCTGCAACAGCAGCATTTGGAAATGGAAGCAAAATGGGAATTAATCCACTTTTGCCCAAACAGCCAATTGCTGCTGAAATTAATCAAAAGCAATGTGCAGAGCAGGGTGAGAGGGTGCCAAGCAATCTATGCAGAGAGCAGGGTCAGAACAAAGATTTGCTCCAAATCAACTTTCCTACAACACAGCACTCTCTAGTAAGAGTCTTGGCCATAGACTAGAACAGTCCTTTATGAGACATGGAACAGCAGTAGCTGCCATCTCCTGGATAAATGAAAAAAACTCCATATTTCTATTTCATCACCTTCTTAACACTTTGTAAAGTTGAACAGTCACCTGCCCTTTAGTCCCATCTGGCCAAAACCAGCCATTAGAGAAAAGTCTGGCTACACCTCTGCAGCATCACTTACAACTTGCTCTAGGTGGTTACACGGGAGACATTTACACTTGTAGGGATATCCAGAGATACTTTAAGTTCAGAACTCGGAAGTAACTTAATAATTTAACTCTCATAGTAAGGCAAAGGAAGATACAGCATATATTTTGGTTTTGCTGTTTTTAACAAGTCCACCTGGCACAGGCTTGGCACATAAGATTTCAATTCAAATTAATTTACCAGAAAAAAATAACTGAAATTTAATTTTTTATTGCTGTGTCAGGTAGCTTTAAATAAGTAGTTCTACCTACAGAGTCACTGCAGAACACTGCATGACACTTTAGTCTTGAGTCTCACCTTACAGATTTTTCAGCTACACTTTCCCATTCACTTTACTGTCAAGTAGCATCACTGTTACAAAGAAAAACAATGTATTTTTTAAATTTAAATAGCAATTTACTCTCAGAACATGCCATCCTCAAACTGCTACAAATATGAGCTGGGACAAAACAGAAACTTGAGAACACTTCTTCAGAAACAACTGATCTTCAAGCAGAAAGCTTATTACAGCAACAGTAAGACAACCATACAGCTAAAGATGACCTTAAGGTAAATGAAAACACTAGCASAAGACAAACACGATAAAGATAGCTAGTTTTTCCCATCTAGAAAAAAAAAAACTTTAAGTTACTCAATACTGGTTAAATCAGGAGTTAGAAAAATACCTATTTTAGTAACATACTATATATGTTACACTGCTGTAAAATTCAGGTGTTAGAAAAACTTCTATTTGTTCACTAAAAGTGGGTAGATAGGATTGAAACAAAACATCAGCACATTTAGTCAGTAATAGCAGGACCCAGTACTGTGAAGTTTTTATCTCCTTTCAACCAGAGCTGACAGTSACAGTGTGGCACGATGCTGCTTCCAACTCTGGCACCACTCTCTTCTTCACACARGCAAAGTCTCTAACCTTAGTTAAAGCTACCAGGCAATTTTACAGAAAAGCCACCTTGTCAACAGTGAGTGTAGCTGAAGGCCAGAAAACACACTTTTACCTCAATCTATGCATGATAGATGAGTATACTGGCAAAAAAAGAGATCACTGCAGCTGACTGAGGCAAACCCACCCAAAACAGGAGCAGCAGGGAGCCTGAGCACACTGACACAGATGACTGCAAGAGCCCCACATGTTCTAATCCTTTTCCTCTTTGGATCCACACCTCCAAAAAGCTCAAATCTCTCAGCCACACCTAATGCTACACAGTATAAACACATCCGTCCTTGATATTTCTACCCTCACTGTAGAATTACTTTAAAGATGTTCCCAATTACTCTATAGGCTTTTCAAATTTAAAAGCTCAAGTGCTATTTTTAAAAGTGTGGTTCACATTTCACACTGAATATCGGCACACTGCACAAATGTAGCAGACAAAACCAAAGTCAGTTTCCACAGATGGAAACAGATTTCAGCTGAGTGTGACGTAGTTTACTTTATTTTACTACTAGATAGATGGATAATCCTGCTTACCAATGTAATTTCGCTGCCAGTTGTAAGCCCAGCTATTTCAGGTTTTCAGCTGGACTCAGCAGCTAATACAGCATTCCATTTTTGGTACAGTCACCTCCTCTACAGACATTTTGCTCATGTAAAGAGAAATGTTTCTCAAGAATATTAGGAGATCAAAATAAAAATACAAAGAAAAAAGTATCAAAGAGCCTTTAAATCTGCATAGAACAATATATTTGTGTATCCATAGAGTTGTATTTTAAAGAAATTTAACCTACTGCCTGTATTACCACATAATCTATGRTCTTACAGTTTTAATAGCTACAAAGTGAATAACTCTTTGAAAGGCTCATTTATAAAGCAAAGCAACTGAGTTCTCATMTGACTGATAACTGAAAAATCAGTCACCTGTACAGGCATTGCTCTGGCACTGAGGATATTTGACCTGGATAATAAAAATCCCTAAAGCCACAGTTTAAAAAAAAATATTAGAAGTAAAAGAAACCGAGACACAAATAAAAGCCACTACATCACTCAAAGSGTGTACTTGCATCCAGACTCCCCAAACACAAAGCCATTAAACAACAGTGCATTTAAGGCTTCAGTCTGTTCACACTGCCAAAGAATGGAATAGTGTTTGGCACTTTATTCTTTTGTTCCTCTGAAATGCAAAAAGGAACACTGTGTCCCTTACCTAACAGTAAAAACAATCCAGGAAATTCCTTGGGTACAAGATGCTTTGGAGACAATCTCATTATTAARTTCCCTTTCCTTAACAGATTTTATAACAGAGATGACAACCATTTGTCCACACACTTAAAGGCTGAGGATCTCCACAGACTGATATAGAGCCAGACACTGTGCACATCTACAGGAATATGTATCTACACCCTTGAGAGGCAGGCTGAAGGATAAAAGAATCCTCCACACCTCCACAAAACCATGGAACTGAAGATGTAAGACCTGATATACTGCCTTGCTTTGCTAACTATGCCCAGCTGCCCTTCTAAATATTAAGTCTTTCCCAGTTATGTTAGGAGCATCATCCATTCCTGTCATAAACACRTACAAGTATTCTCCAAGAGCTGGACAGACAGCATGGAAATACCAGAACTGATGTGGACYATSTATGCAGAAACTAGGTCTGGTGGTGGTAATACAATTTTACATCTAGATGAGCTATAATTACTATTCCACATATGGTTAGCAAGTCCAGCCTAGGCAAGATTTCATTCGAAGGGAAGTCTGCTAATGAAAACTAAATAGCAGAATAAAAACCTAAAGAACATTGCTTGAATCTTTGGCTGGCTGTTCTTGGCTGTAAAAAAGGCAAATAGAGCCATATGCCTTGACAATGTATCCACTGGGATTTCAGTCAGCGCCCCCTGGAAAAGCAGAAGCATTTTTGCTTAGACTGTATACTGCCCACATGCTTCCAAGCCACTCCCATCAAAGATCAGCAGTTTGAATTTTTTTCCTCTTTTTTTGGCTACCGAGTGATAAGGCTATAGTCATGGATTAAGTTATAGTACATTATAGTTATGTACCTCTGTGGCACCCTCTAGCTCTAAATAAGGCAAAAGGAGTATCTGGAATATCAGGGGGAAAAGCCAAAAACCTGCATGTGGTGGGTTGACCCAGGCTAGASACCAGGTGCCACCAAAGCCACTGTCTCACTCCCCTCCACAGCTGGGCACGGGAAAGAAAATACAACTAAAAGCTCCAAGGCTGTGGGGAGAGATAAAGACAGAGATCACTCRCCAGTTACTGCCACGGGCAATTACMAACGTGGCTTGGGTAATGAGAAATAAGACTAAAACCTTGACACASAAACCCAATACACTGCCAAAAAAGCAAGACCTTCAAGTCATGCCTGACCCCTCCCCCTGAGTGCTGCAGCTGGGCAGTAATTTCTAGACTAAGCCAGCTACCAGCTATGTTTTCACATGCCCAAACAAAAGCTCACCCTGGCATTTTTGTCCTGAATGTTTTTGAAAAGCATTACACTAAAACATAGTCCTTCTGTCCAGCACCTGACAGAATTTAGTTCTATTTGGTATTCAGATACACAATWCAAACCAAACAGTCCACAATAAAAGACTATGTATTCAAGTAATTACAACAGCCGCACGTTGACCAAAATGCTAGTCTAGTCTAAATGTTAAAAGGACAAGGGAGTATGAGGATCAGCTCCTGAATCCCACACAAAATTGTATTCTACTTTTTCTTCCASCTCCCTGCACTGGGCAAGGAGAAGGGGAAATCATGCAAATCCTATTAAAAGAACATGTCTGCTAACAGCAAACTTTAAGTTCAGCAACTCCTTTAGCAGATGACAGTTACCAAAATGAAGGAATGCAATCAGAAACAGGTCTGCTAAAATCTTCATAGCATTCTTTTAAGGAGAATATCCCCAAAAGACAAAGAAAAAGTCCTAACAGTTTAAGAATACACCCAGAAGCATTGACAGACCTGAATACGGCACATTCTTGAACAGAACAAGGCAGCTATTAACTTTCCAGCTTAGAAAGCTGGAATTCTCCAAAGCAACTGCCAGATTCTTCCAAAGCACAGCACAACCAATAGTAATGCAATTACTCRAGCAGTCAGGAACCACCTTAGAATTTTAAGAGGA